TTGCAGTGTGATAGGAACGTCGGCTGCATTCATTCATAGAACTTTCGTTTTATCCGTGTAAATATGGAGTCCAACACTACGGGAGAAGGTCCTGAGGCTCGACTGTGGGAAAGAAGTGCCAAGTCGTCGGCAAAGTCCAAGTCTTCCATCTGACTGGAAAGGGTCCACTGTATGCCACTCGTTAGTCTATAGGAGAAAAAAAATACATTTAAAAAATCAAACATTTCAGTCGAAACTCACTGACGAAATACTCAGCCACAGATTGCAACTCTGGTTCTGTGTAGACCACTGAGACGTTGACGCCCATCAGGCGCACTGGGTTATTGCCCCTGACTCGGTAAATCACAGGAAGTGGAATCAGGGGCACGGAGGGAAGGGGGTCAACATTCCAGTTTTGGTTCCGGTCGTATCTGGTGGCTGCAGGATATTAAGGGGGAACATTTTACCTTGCTTTCAGTAGGGGGAACAAACAAACAAACATGCAATGCTATCCTGCGAAACGATGGGGGGAGTGAAAGCATAAATGCGCACCAGAGACAAACAGCACATAATATGAGGAATTGATAAGAGAGGATCGCGGACCAAGGGGCAAAAGTTCTACTTTAACCTTCGATTCAGATCTTATCCAAATCGGAAAATGTTCTCAGATAACAGCTTTTTCCATGGTTATGAAGATGCAGCTCATAAATGGTTTGACTCCCATCCCAGGTCATGATATTATAATATCCTTAAGGACTTTGTTCAGGTCAAACAAAGTTGGCAACTGTTGGTCAATTTGTAGGGAGACTATGTGAATAAGTAGTATTGTAAGTGTCAAAGTGCAATTTTCTACTTCTTGATATATTATCTAACTGCGTTCAAATTAATTACTTTTATATTTGTTTGTTTGTTTGTTTGGGTAAAGAGAAGCACACCGACACAATAATGGGAAAAGTAAGACAGACAGACATAAATAATAGATGAAAAGTAAAGAAGTAGGACCTACCAGTGGCGCCCTCCGAACACCTTCATATAATGTACACAGTTATTACCTGGACTCCAAGGAGAGAAGAGATCATCCTTTGTCCTCTTGTACTGACGTGGCTCAGTAAATGGTCCAACAAAACTTAAGCTCTCCCCAGCTGTGGTCTGTATGGTTGTGGGTTCCATTCCTGGAGCAGCCACATACCAATTAGGCATCTGCTCATACTTGGAAACTGACCAAGCATCAGCTCTGTTTTTCGAAATACATAACATGTAGATCTAATACAAGCCTTGCATACTTGTTAGTGGCAATGGCTAAATTACTATTATAAAACATGTTCTAAAACAATCTCTGATTTTCTCTCTCTCTCTCTAACTCTCTCTCTCTCTCCCTCTCTCTCTCTCTCTCTCTCTTTCTCTCTCTCTCTCTGTCTCCCTCTGTTTGTCTATCTATCTATCCGTCTGGTTTTCCCTTTTTATATTATTCATTATTATGCCTCTCTCTCTGTCTCTTTTCCCCTGTCTCTGTATCTCTTATTGACACTCTGTCTCGTTATAGTTTCTCTTCCTATACCCCCGCCTCCCCCCCCTAAAAAAAAC